GTGCATATTGGGTTTTTCCTTTTCTGTACCTGGTTGCCCCTCTTGATTTGACGATTGCTTTTCGCCACGTGCGCCTGTTTGCTCTCCTTGCATTGCTAGCTTCTTGTCCGCATGTTCACCTGATTGCTTTCCTTGCATTTCTGGCTGCTTTTCTCGGTGCACTTCTGGTTGCATACTCTCATGTGTTCCGGACTGCTCTGGAGGTGGTGGATGAGGAGTGGCTTCTTTCGTAGATTCAGGTGTGCAGTGCTGTTTATTTGCTTGTCCTGCATGCATTATGTCGACTAAGTGAGGTTGCACTTTGGCCAATGCTTCAGCTGGTTGTGAGGAGGCTGACAGAGACGTTGCTTTCGATGATTCAGGAGAAGCATGTTCGACTGTGACAGTCTTAGCACTTAGTATCCCTTTGGGTGCCTCTTTTTTCCCATCGACAGCCACTTGCGGAATCGTCTGTGAATCCTCAGTAGCAGCTGGAGCAGCAGGCACATTGGGGTCAATGTCGATTGACTCCATCAAAAGCCGAGACTCCTCTCTGACGAGTTCCTGGCCCGATAGCTACGTTGGCTGGAGGTTCTGCAACACTGTAAGGCATCTCGCTTGCCACTGTGTCTAGTGCCTTCTGTTTCGAGAAAGAAGCGTTTCTGCCTGACTTCCGCGACGAACGCTTGCCTTTAGGTGCAACCTGGACCAGCGTCGAGAAGTCGTGCATGGTCTTGGCAGGCTCCACACGGCGCATTCTTTTCTCGCGTTCGCACTCCTTTGCACTCGCGACTGGAGTCGGTGCTGCGCGACTCCATCCACGTTTGGAATGGCATCACTATGGGTCCTGGCGGGTAGTAGTAGTAAGGGTGCTGTGCCATTGGCCAGAAGGGCGAAAAGCTGGTCATCCCGAGCGGGCTTTGCTGCAGTCTAAAGGTATTGTAGGCCAGCGAGAATGTTCGAAAAATCTCCAGCGGGTCGGGGAAGCGGCTAGCCGCAGCGGCACTCGGAGCAGCACGATGGTGACGCCGACGGCGGCAGGAGGACGCAGCAAGCCGGTCGTCCGTCGGGAAAGTTCACGAAGTGGCACTGGGTGCAGCTGCGTGAGGACGGCAGCGAGATCTGGCTGTGCGTCGAGCTCGGGGCGCGTCGTGGCGGCGGCCGCTGCTTGCGCCGAACCGCGGAGGGTACCATCTTGAGCCGGTACCGGTTTCGAATGGCGGGTGCGGAGAGTCGCGGGGCAGGTACCAATCGAGGCTGGTGGTACTGCTTGTGACCGAAGTGGCGCGCGGGTGCGCTGACGGCGCCGCGCGCCGATATGCTGGGCGCAGAGCGGACGTCTCGAAGGCAGGAGCGGGACGGTGGACGCACCACGGTGACGCCCATGGAGGATCGGGAATCGCTGGACGGAAGCATTTCGGGCGCGAATACTGTGAGCGACAGGTAGTCCAGGGCCTTGGACAGCGGCGATGGCTGCTCGTCGCGCGCGGAGGTCGAATTTGAAGCGCTGCTGGATTCTACCGTCACTGACGTCCTGACCACCGTGCGGTCGCCCATCCAGCCCTTGAAGGCCTTCTGCAGGTCCGATAGCGGGCCTTCGGCGATTGTCGAGTGACCGCCGCCCTGAGGCGGCTGCTGGGATGCGTTCGTGTAGTACTCGGTGAAGTACCGCATCGCCGCCTGCCACGGGGCCTCCTGGGTGCTTCCCTCGGATTGGGCCGCTGGCGCACTGGCACTCTTGGTCGGCAACTGATCCGACATCGTCTTGTTAGCTAGGTCGTTTTTCGCTTGCACGAACGAGCGTGGCGCGCAGAGGTGAGCGCGTTTTCGTGCCGTCACGAGCTGCGCGATGAAAGAGAAAGCGACAGAAAAAAAAAAAAACTTTACAGGGAGTAAATGGCAGGTGGCCCAGTGCGATCACAAACACTAGGTAGGCTCCTCGTTGCAGAAGTCCATTAATTGGCGTCTAACACGACTCGGGCTCGGCCTCTCATGCATTTTTCCCGGGCGGAGCTCGATTTTTGGGTGGGGCGAGGGCCCACACCATGTGGAAGATGTCTCGAGACTTCTCCGCACAGTGCGGGAGTTATGTGGAGCGATGAGAACGAAGAGGTCTGCAATGTAGGTTATGCGCCATATAGTGTTGAAAGCTCAAAGAATAAACAAAAAGTCCCCCACCTCCCCGAAGGGTATCGTGAGGAAATGCGAAAGCATTTTTTTTTTCTCGCGCCAAGACTAGGCCCGTGTGCTCGGATTTGGATGCACGTTAAAGAACCCCAGGTGGTCGAAATTTCCGGAGCCCTCCACTACGGCGTCTCTCATAATCATGTGTTTTCGGGACGTTAAGCCGCACATATCAATTTTCGCACCGAGAGATGGGACCATTGCCGTCAGACATCCGCCTTCACCGCCCAACCAGCGAACGGTCGAGAGTGGGGCGCAGAAAGGAGAGAGCGAATGGCGAGATAAGGAGCGGCGGAGCACTGCACCTACCCTCTCTCGCAACTCGTGCTTCGGTTTGTGGTGGTGGTGGTAGTAATTAGAAGAAAGAGGGAAACGGCACCTAATTTCTGTTTGCCTTCAGGCGAAACGGCGCAGTGCCTTATAGGGGTGGGGGGAAGGAGGGATAAAAAGAATAGAAGGAAAATAGATGAAGAAATAGACAGACAAGCGACTGAAAAAAGAAGGAGATAGGAAAGTGGGGATCCAGTCGAAACAGTCCAAGGGCGGGGTGCCACAATGCGAGAGCTGCACGGCGTCAGGTGACCGCGGAGGGTGAACCAGTGGGCGGGAGCTACGCTGGCGTCGGAGATCGCGAGGGCACAACCGTCCAGCTTGAAATCCTGCGAGCGAATCGTTTGTAGGGGCGACGCTAGGCGCGCGCCCGCACCTGTTGGTAGCGCGCATCCGCAACTTTTGGTACGGGAAAGGGAGAGAGAACATCTGCCGGCGCGGTCAACGCCGGATGCCCGACATAGCCCGACAAAGAAATGCATTCGCATTTAAAACGAATAACTCGATTTACGCATCCAATCCACCACACACATGAAGGTTCAAGCTGACAATAGCGGTCAACTGGTCGCTATAACCTTGCACGATCATTCCAAAGTGGTCCAACTTGCACATGTCGCCTTGCCATTGGTGGTCTAGTAGCTAAGGCACTCGGCTACTGACCTTCCTTCTTGGCTGCGGCTCCGGTCGCGGTACCAAATTCCAGGCCTATTCTGATGGAGGCGAAAATGCTAGAGGTCAAACCTTGTGCTTACATTTAGGTACATGTTAAAGGGACTGTCTACAGTCATTCATTGCTTTTCTATTTTGTGTGGCAATAAAAAGCGTACCACCTGAAGTGTTTAACATAGCAGTGGTTTCACTGGAAAGTGTAAAGAAATTTTTAACACAGATTTTTTGTCTGCGTTCGGTCTTATCCCAACGGTAGGGTCCTTACCATCGGTGGGATGAATGCCCGCAACACTGGTCGGTGGAAGCGATAATTGTACTGCCAGTGAAAGTTGAAAATTGAAGCCGTTCGGTTTTTGCAGGCTTCATTAAGTTTTGTTTATCAATAATACAATTAACAGACTTTTTTGTTCTTATAAGCGGCAGCGGACGCCGTGCTCGCGTTTCTCTCTCCGCTGTTTGGAAGCGAACACATTGCTGGCAGCACCACCAGGCACCTCTTTGGATGCGCGAGAAAAAAACGAAAATTGGACTCTGGCACAACCTAATGCTACCACAAGTATGTAGAATACAATTTCAAGTTGTACATGTTTGATTTTAAGCAAAATAAGTTTACCTGCGAGAATTTTTTCACCTGCCAATAGATTGACCACATGGCTGCTGGGTGACGCTAGCAGGCATTTTTTGTCGACTTTAGTTAAAAATTTGATGTTTTATGAGACAAAAGCATGCTCGTTGCCGCTGATGTGATGAACGATCTTCGCATTTGTGCCACAATCAGAAGAAAATTTTTCAAGCAGTAGAAAGAACCCCAGGTCGTTATATGGTGACACAGTATAGGGACATTCATCATCATCATCAGCCTGACTACGTCCACTGCAGGACAAAGGCCTCTCCCATGTTCCGCCAGTTAACCCGGTCCTGTGCTTGCTGCTGCCAATTTATACCCGCAAACTTCTTAATCTCATCTGCCCACCTAACCTTCTGTCTCCCCCTAACCCGCTTCCCTTCTCTGTGAATCCAGTTAGTTACCCTTAATGACCAGCGGTTATCCTGTCTATGCGCTACATGCCCGGCCCATGTCCATTTCTTCTTGATTTCAGCTATGATATCCTTAACCCCGTTTGTTCCCTAATCCACTCTGCTCTCTTCTTGTCTCTTAAGGTCATGCCTACCATTTTTCTTTCCATTGCTCGCTGCGTCGTCCTCAATTTAAGCTGAACCTTCTTTGTAAGTCTCCAGGTTTCTGCTCCGTAGCTAAGTACCGGCAAGATACAGCTGTTATATACCTTTCTCTTGAGACATTTCATTGGGACATTAGGCCCCAACAATTATTGATATGCTGGACCAAAAGGATCATTGCTCAAGTCCGATGCGATTGAAACAACATCAAAGTCCTGCGACAGACGCCGAAGCGAAATGTGCATGAAATACAGAACACAAATATATCGGATTACTTGTATACTATTCTTGTTGAATAACTACATCTCCCTCTCCTGCACAGCAAGCGGTGGAAACCAGCCTACCGCACGCACTGTGGTTCCGCAGGATGGCAATGTATATTTTCCAAGATCGTAAAGCTATAGTTTTGATCGAAATTACAACTACATGAACACACCAGGCACATTGACGCCATGTCCCGTAAAAAGTCGAAGTTGTGATAATACGGCCCCGCGTGTTGCGTTTACGAAGTGAACAAATGACTCTTCATTCAACGTGCTTCTATGGCAAAGTGTAAAATTTGAGTGTGAACACCTTACAGTGCCCATGTAGCCATTGTACAGCACCTAAAGCAACAGCGCCTTCAAGCATCTGAGCAAACAGACAAAGATAACAAAAGGTGACTGATTAAAAAGTTTATTTATATCTGCGCACATATGGAGCTTTTTCTCAATCCTACAATCAAATCTGTAGCACCATAAGTACAATCCAATTTGACGCTCGCAGTTAGTTTCTCATAGCCAGATAAAAAAAAAAAAAACAATTGCAAGGGGGTACCTTGTACGGCTGAACATGCAAGGCTAAAAAATAAGCATTCCTCAGGATTGCACCTAACAGACCTTGCATGTGACGATAACACTCTCGCAAGAAAAAAACAAAGTGGCTAAAATATAAAAACTGGCTTGGGGAAGAGTAAAAAAAAGGAGCGGGAGGTGGGGCTCATTCGATAAACATGCAAGACCAAGCGTGCCTAAATGACGTACATCAAAAAAGTGAACAGAAAGAACTGAATTAATAAATAGAGGGAAAAAAAAGACATCCTGCTATCAAGTCCACAAAAAAGTCATACCACTAAAAAAAAAAAGAAGATGGCAATGTGCACTCCATGTGCTCCTCCATAAACTATGCCGTGGATCGCTTCCAAGATTGCTCCTCTTATGTACATATCGCCAACTGACATTTCCATTAGTTGGGCCGACACGATGCTCGAAATGCAGCCAGGTTTCGATTGGTGCAGGAAACAAAGAAAAAAAAAAAACAAGAAACGCAACTTGTCTTTTTTCGGTGAAAAATATGAGCTAAACAAATGCACCACTTCCTCCTCACAGCCTGCATAAAGAACACTATAAGCATCACACGTAATTATGAGGCCATGTTTTGTGGATGCAACACAAAAATGTTGGTTCTGCATGAACCAGAAGCAGCTTTAAAGGGCACTGCCTCGTGTAAAACGCAAGATATCTGCGGAAGCCGGCAGCAGAGAAACCAAGAGAGCTTCCCGGGGAAGACAACTCGCAAACGAAACGATGGAAGCTTTTCTCGACGAAGTGTCGACATACATCGTTGACAGTCTTCAGTAGTTTTCAGAATTGAAGACGGGATGGGGGTCGGGCAGATTTTCAAGAATTGGAATAAGAGACCGTGACGCGGCACGAGACGAGAGAGGCACATTTGACCGGAAGACCTGACGTGACAACAGAAAGCAATGCCGTGCAGGTTTTCGGAGTGTGCCGCCGGCCTTGAGATAAACGCTTACAGACGCCGAGCAACAATGTGAATGTGAGCAGAGTTTGGCAATATTTCAGTTTTTCCTTTTCCTGGAGGAGAGAGCTTCGGTTTAGATGCCCGGGGAATTCGTGGGGTTTACAAGAATACCAGCGGTGGTAGTAGTAGCGGTAGTGGCACTAGAAGTGCGGAGAGGGGATGTGCTTGAAGAACGAGGTTTGGGTTCAGGGAATTGATAGAAGACAAGTTTCTGCACCCCCATAAGGTTATCGGTCAGACAGTGTGTGTGTGTGTGACGGCAGACAAGTGTTTACAGAGTACGACTGCGCGGGGGAATAATAAAAGAAAAAGACAACAAACAGAGTTTGCAATCGAGTGAGTGCGTGCAGACGGGGGCTTGGCGAGCTTCAAGAGTTGCGGATGCCTCGATTCCTCGCTGCCCGTTGTCCGAAGGCCTCATATCGCGGGCACGTTGCAACCAGGAGTTGGGACATCTGTCAGCCTTGGTGCTGGAGGAGGTCGGTTGCAGCCTGCAATTCAAATGAGGTGCCCTGGCATCAGCGTGTTTCCAACGCTGCTATGCTGTCACAAGGACCTTCTGCAACATGCATCATGGTCGACCGTCTATGAAGACATGAAATTCGTGTAATCTGATGCCAATGTTCTGGAAACCAAATTTAATGTGAAAGAAAGCATTTGAATAAATTATAGTGCATTTTATAGCAATTAATTTGAATCAATATATAAATTACATAATTATACAATGGCCAATTATGCTATATTTAATCAGAAACTGAATTTGAAGGCCCACTCAAATAACAAGCGATAATCGAATGCTTGCATCAAGGATCATTAAAAAGGTAATAAAAAATTTTTGAATTTCTGCCTTCGCAAGCTAAGAGTGGCACTGCCTTTACCATAGGGATCATGTATGGCAAATTATTTTAACAAGCAAGTTAGGTCTGTGTTGTTTGTTCCTTGCCAATAATGCTACAAAAAATGGCAAATGTAAGCAGAGTCTGCAGATGAGGACGCTGTGCCACCAAAGAATAAAAAACGCTACGGCATTATGAGGAGTTGTCCCTGAGTAGCGAGACCAGCAGAAATTTGGTATCCAATGTAAGGATTACACTGATTCAGCTCAACAACAACTATTCGTTATTTTGGCACTAATGTAAGCACTACAGTACGGTAAACCCACAGCTGCTCAGTGGGTACAATGCGTGCGTGAACAACCCTCTTGCAAGCAGCAGAAAGTAGAAAAGTGGAGATCTTGCGTGGCACAGTGCAGCGTCGGCTACATTTTAGTTGAGACGAGGCAGCTAGCTTCTAAATGACAAAGTGACGAGCTGATGATACACAGCACCCTAATAAATTCACTGCTGGTCTCTGGTGCTGTCGCCTAAGACACGCATCGGCTGGGCACCAGTTCTGCAATTTAAAAAAAAAAAAATCAAGAGATCACGTGGTCCACTTACATGCTTCTCTACAATAGTACACACTTGGACTTCTTTTTGGTGTTTGGCTTCTTCTCAGGGTTCTTACGGTTGATCTGCCGTACAAGGTCATAGAAGATCTGTAAGGAAAGGACGGAAGTCAAACGGCAGTGCACCACAAGGTCAATGGGCAAGGAATTTCCCAGTATGAGAAATTGACACTGCTACCAAGTCTCTGCATCTCTTATGCATATCTGTACAATAGCCACCTTCCACAGAGCTGGCTTCATTAGCAGACATGTTTAGTTAATATAAAAAGCAGGAGGTTCTGTGGCACAGTGTGGGGTCAGCCTCACGAGTACCGTATTAATTCAGATCTAGGCCGATAGTTTTTTTTTTTTTTTTTTTCAAATTTCTTTGTATCAAACTCCAGGGTCGCGCCATTGTGATGCACAACCAGCGTCACCTAGATGGCATTGTAGCCGTTAGTAGCCGAGCCAGCACCTGGTTAAAGTACACACATGAGGTTGTCATTGTCATCTTTGTGGCAAGTGTCGAGGCGAGTCGTTTGTCTTTTTGAGTTGCGCTTAGAGTGGTCTGTGTGTGGCGTAGTTCAATGGCGAAAGGAAATTTGTCCTAGCCAGGGAGTCATTGTCCAACGTTCAAGCCGAACGGAACTTTGGGGTGGACGACAGAAATGTGCTTCTCTGGAGGGGCTGCAGCGTGGGACGATATCCCAGGAGCTTTGATTGTGCACTGTTTTAAGACGTGCGGCATATCCAATGCGCTTGATGGCACTGAGGATTGCGCACAGTTTGAAGACAGCAACAAAGTCAGCGACGAACTGAATGAGCGCGGCATCTTCATAATGCAAATTACTGGAAGCAGCGTGAAAAAAACGACGACAAAGAAACACAACAGGACTAGTCAATACACGCTTCTGAACTTATTTGCATCATGAACCAACTGCTTTTCAACGCTTTTCTCCTTGTGAACACTGTCTTCACTGTTAACATGGCCTACATTCGAGGTAATTTTTTTTTTCCCGGGCTTCGGACTTCAGGGGGTTGGCTTATAATCGGGGTCGACCTAGATTCGATTACACAAGTTAGTGCAGCGAGCCTTGATTTGGCAAAAAAAAATTATCACAGTGTGCACTAATTGGTGGGTATATGTGGTCAGACAAATAAAGAACTTTGATATTAGAACAAAGTGTTAGGCTAAATGATCGTATGGCTTGCTCTGCTCCGAGTATTGGGGTAACAATCCTTTAATAGCTGAGGAGGGCGTAAAATACACAGCACACAAGGAAAAGAACACAGGACAACGTGCACCCTTCAGTAACTCATTCAGCCTTCATTTTTACCATACAAATATGTAACACATAGCAGTCACACAGAACAAGAATTACTTGCCAAGTTTCATTGAGGCTTGTTAAATTTCAGAAAACACTGGCAGCACATTCTTTTATGGCATATGGCAGTGCACACCAGGTTACACAGCGAACAAGCACACAAAGGGACAACACAAAAGCTACTTCCAACTAGCTTATAAGTACATTGTAAGCACGCTTATTTCTAGTTAATCGGGCAGTTTTCTCAGCCCTTGTGTCGCCCCTTAGTGTGCATGTTCGTTGTGTAACCTGGTGTGTGCTGCCATAAGCTGTAATGAGTTAACAACTAGCCCGCAAGTACATTTTAAGTATTTTCTTGCTGTGCAACGAAGAGGTTGTACTTTTTGGCCGGCTAAAAATGTTCCGCAAATCTACGCTTGTGTTCTACTGTCAGAGAATGCCGTTATGCCCTCTCGGATCAAACACACAACGTTCGGGGTCAGCAGCTGAGCGCAGGAACCACAGTGCCACACAGGTATGTATCCGACATGTATCAGCACATGTTGCACAGAACATGTTGCAAGCCTTCTAGAAAATTGCATAAAGAGCTCCGATGTCTCGGTTGAATGAACTCTGCCCTTAAAAATATTTAGTGAAGGCTCTGCCAGGCGTGATGCTTGAGCTTGCCAGCTAAAGCAGTCAATCAGCACGTCAGCCTCATCGAAGCTGGATTTCAGATTCATCGCAAGGAGAACACTTCGAATTTACATGATGCATAATACCAGGCACACGCAATTGAGGTTTCACGACACGCACCTCGTTGACGTTGATTTTGGCCTTGGCTGAACTCTCGAGGAAAGCGCAGTTGTTGAAGGAGCGGGCTAAGTTCGCTCCCTGGTCCTTCCCGACCACCCGCTCATCTTCCAAATCGCACTTGTTTCCGACGAGAATCATTGGCACCTGCAGTGTGGCAGAATAGACAGTGTCATCACCACCACCAAACTTCGTTGACTTTCGGCAGCATTACTCGGAGGTGCTCACACCATGTTTCAACGTCGCAGGGCATGCTTTTCTCGCACGTAACATCACTTAGCAAGCGTCAATTTTGAAGTACTAGACTTGTCAGTGATGGGTATTGACACTGGGCGAACTTAGTCGATGTAGTACATCAATAATGCTATGTGTAACAGTTTTGCTCACAACTGTACAATGCAGTAATTACATACCTATAAAGAGTGTCAGGCATAACAAAGTGGTGCTATCACTGTTTCACACGCCAAGCACAGGCACGAGAGTCTCTCAAGCTGTCTACAACTCACATCATCCATGTCCTTGACTCTGAGGATCTGCTCCCTGAGGTCCTGGAGGTCATTGAAGGTTGATTGGGCCGTGATGGAGTAAACAAGCACAAAACCTTGTCCATTCTTCATGTACAGGTCGCGCATAGCTGTAAATTGCTCCTGCAATGGTGGAGGAAGCATGGCATCAGCAATTAAAGCCGATTGCATTCGTTTTCGACAGTTTTGCCAGTAATAGTAACTGGCACGGTTCCTCGTCACATAACCACAACATAATTATGGGAGACACTGCAGTGGATGGCTCGATTCCGGAAATTTCAACCAAACGGGGGCTCTTCTACTAGTGCCTAAATGAGACCTCTAGCCACAAGCCTCCACCAAAATGCATCTGCGGCGGCCAGTGTTTGTTCCAACAAAATGTCGCTGTGCGATTCCACTAATACTGCTTCGCCATAATCCTTATGTGAATAAGGACACTGGAGGGGCTTGCGCCAAATATTTTACAGACCCTCACGATGCAGTACTACATCTCACAGAATCCCAACTCGCTATGTAAGGATTGTCGGTCTCAACATTGAAGACATGCAATGCATGCATAAACTCGCATTTCGATCACATTTTACTTTTCAGACTACGCAACTGCACAAGGTATATCGCACCCAAGCAGTTGCCACAGTGCAATGACCGGCTTATAAGCAGTACATAATGCACACAGCAAATCAACAGGCATTTTAAAGCTTTGCTTAAACTTTGGCTGAACAGCTTAAAACACTACCTAGCTACATCTGTTGCATTGCAGTCACTGTTTTCTCATCTGCATGTTTCATAAAGCAGAACCAGCATGGATTGTGCTGTATTCTGAAGACATCTTTGGCAATCATCTCCAGATTTAATTTAGGCTTAACGTGAACATAACTAGAGAGATGAAGCAGCAGCTTTTCGTTTCGAGAATTTGAACACACTAATGCTTATCCCAGTGGATGGACACCTTTCTAATAGTATATAGCTTGTTAACTGACACTCGTCAAAGAGAGGCCGAGTGCTGAACAGAGTGGAACACAGTAATGCCGGTGCAGACATTTGCTTACATAGACTTTGTTTTCAACATTGACGATGTCTGAGATTAAAAAGAAAAGCACATGCACAGTGGCTCTAAGCTGTAGCCAGCGACTTGTGTCGACTACAGGAAAGAGAAACCGAAGCTTGAACATCAAACTTACCGTTCCAGCGGTATCCAAAATTTCCAGCATGCACTGTTGCCCGTCCACTTCCACTTGCTGCAAATTCAAAAACGAATGCAACTATCAAGGTGAGCGTCTCTGTGCAAACACTCAAAGCGCAAAGAAAACAAAGCACAAAATTTTCACTTCCAAGATTCTATGCCTGAACTACAGCACGAATATGTTTGTAGAATCGATGTTGATGGTCTTTAGGTAGTTCTGTACATTTGTGCAGTTCTGAAATTCCGCTAGTGTCTTCACGGTGCAATGTAATAGTACTTAATAAACAACAGACAAGTAATGAAACACCAATTCCTCATGCCATCATGAAGTGCTTCAACAAATCCCCTCTTTTGATTTCTAGTCCTGGTTCACTGAAACTTACTCTCACAGCCAGACCCAATATTTTAAGTAACTTGCACGTGCAATCTACCAATACTGTTTGAACTATTAAAAAACAGTTTCTCTTTTTGAAGAATCTTAAACATCATTGAGGTAACCATCAAAATTTAATGAAATTTTGGGGCTCTCACATGCCAAAGTAGCAATGTTTATAAATGGCTTGCACTGACACCACTGAAACAGCCACGGTGTGCCATCATGGTGGAACACTGAGTTCGTAACGCCACGTTAACGTTATCAGTGCATCACATGCTAGCTTGTTTTTTATCTATGTATGGAGTCCCAATGATGCTCAAGCTACGTCGGTATCACTCTGAAGCAGGTTATTTCCCGCGTGATTATACTGCCTCGGCAACATCGAAGCCGCCATGTTTTGCGTCCACTGACGTCGCATGCAAACTGTCTATAGGATACAGCACAGCCCCTGGGGGCTCCTTTAAAGCACATTTAGGCAAGATGGCATCGTCACCCACAATTTTTTTTCTTGAACGTCTTCTCACTTATCAAGTGTTTTGGCATCATGATAATTTATTAAGATGAGAAAAATTGTGTACTAGAGTACCTTTTATGTCCTGCCACGTCAACTATAAGAAAAAAAAAAAAACCAGATGCACTGACCTTCCTATAACTGTCTTCAATAGTGGGATCATATTTCTCCACGAAGATGCCCTGGACAAACTGTACAGTCTGCAAAAGCAAAAAGAGAAAGTAGAAAAAAGGCTGTCGAGAGAGATTAGTCATAAACAGGAGGCAGTTTTTCTTTTTTTTTTTCCTCCCTCTGAACTTGTTCACAACTGGGCAACATGTTGAACACTCACCAGGGCGCTTTTACCAACGCCTCCACTTCCCAACACCACAATCTTGTACTCTCTCATTGCAGACCCAGACAGGGCTACGGCTGTAACAATAGAAAAATGTTTTACAAAGTATATAGCACACACCGAAGAAAACAGTCAAAATTGCTCATCCAACACTGCAACACAAATTTATAAGAATACTGTCAAAATCACTCTGGCAACATTGCATGAGTGACTGCAACGGTGAAACCGCATTCATCATAAAAGAGGACCGGCATGCGGACAGACACAGGAGAAATGAATGGACAACACAAATGCAGAATTTCCTGCAGTCGGTGTCTGTGTTTCATTCTCTTTCGTGGGCACATGCACACTCACCCCTTCCACGGTGACCACTTACCCAGCCAGATAGACCATTTATCAGTCATAAGCGAAAAGCAACAGTGAACATTTCCTTCCAGCACAGCTACACGACGCGAGTGGACGACATCATCCGACCCTCACAGATGAAGTGCTTTCCGAGTCGCAACCTCGTTCAAAGTAAGACGGCCTCTTAACTACCTTCAGCCAGATTGTACATGAAATGTGCAAGTGCCAGTTTGTTATTGCATTCTCACATGCAGTAAAAGTGCTTACAAGAACACCCACATGCACTAACGAATAACATAGTCTAACCGGCGACAAGAAGCACCTTCAGAGTCGTGACCTCGTTCAAAAATAAAAACCCCGGGCTCAAATATGCAAGCCACTTCCTACACTGTAGGCACACGGTCAGCATGTATCAGCATTTTCACGTGCTGTATAACAAGCTCTTACAAAACTGAGAACACTGCACTCCAACGCCGAGGACGGCCGACTTTCAGTGCCGTCCCGCAGCGCAAAACCGTGAAGTTGTGCAGAGCACGAGGAAATTTCCTGGCCCCCCTTGTTTCCTCGTCATCATCTCAGGAGGAAACTGGCAGGCTTCCAGGCGCTACACATGCGAGGAGAGGCCCCAGCTGTCACAGCCGTGCCCCAGACACTAGACGAACGACCTCGTACCTCAAAAAGTTTTTGCGGGGTGGGTATGCGCAGCCCCCCACGGTGTGGACGGAGAAGCCATTATAGGCGAGATTTGCAGTGAAGAGAGAAAGTGCCCGGAGAACAGCTGCTCTGAAACATTAGCTACCTTTCAGAAATACGACCTATCGACAAGCCAGTCAGTAAGCTCCTCGTTGCCAAGCATCAACCACTGGTTAAGGGCCAGGGGTTGAATTAAACAGTAACCCAACCCAATGATGCCAAGAACCTGCCTGAGAAAATCAACATATATACAAGGTAAAAAAAGTGGAGGGAATTACTTGTTGCCTGTACATTAACCTATAGTCTAGTAATAATGATTCCTAAATCGACATGAATTATTGTGGATGGAAAATTATCCTTTTCGTCAGTGGGTTCCGAACCCATTCGAAGGTTGTGGGTTTGGATTCCACTGTTATAAAGGTTGTTGATTTTGTCCACTTTCCTTTTGGTTTGCATCATAATACGGTGCAGTTAAACAGTAAGCAATGTAACCTGTGCTTTCCTTAGATTAATTATCGCTTGGTTTCATTAGTTTCATCCAAGGCAAACGAGCCCCTCGAACAATAACCTTTCATTTTTTTTCAAATAGCTGCTTGTAACGAAAACACGTGGTGTACTTTCACTACGATAGTTATAGCGAGAGAACATAACGATGACACAGAGACAAAAAGGACACGAGCGCTAACTTCTCTTCGTGTCCTTGTCTCTGTGTCGTTTTGTTCTTGCGCTGTAACTATCGTCATGTCATACCAACTAGCCCAACCTGCCACACTTTCAAGGTACTTTCAGTGTAAAGAACACTACGTGATCACCTTTCTTTCGCCACTTTTTACGTAATGAACACGAGAAACACAGAACAAAACGAATGAATACCCGACTGGAGCAATCCTCCCAGTACTGACAAGTCTGCCAAGATCAGCAAATAGTAACAACAAGTAGGACGCATAACATTAAGCGTAATAGTGTGAACCACACGAGGAGAACCTCGAACATCTAAAATGAGCTTTCTGATGGGAACACCGGCGGCGAAACGGGAAAGAATGGCGACATCGTAAACTACACAATGTAAGGGAGAAATGAGGGATTGGCGACAACACTAACGGAGTTTGTTTTTCGTGGCAGGGCATGACAACTACACAAAACAGATACCCAAGACCTTAGAGCCCCTCAAAGCGTGGTTCAAAAGCTCACCGCCCCCCGAGAAAGAATAGGGCGAGGCCCGTTAACGGCGTCACCGACGTACCGTGTCAAAATATAAGCGATTCCACGCAGGGACAGGAAACATTCGAAACTCCTTCTCACACGAGCTTAGTTAGTGTAAGCGATACGTGAGGTCGATGTAGCAAGGTCTGCGTGTGCGGGGGAGTAGAAGGGTGGGCGTCTCTCCTCTGAAGATTCATTTTTTATATGTTTTTTTTTTCTGACGCGCGCCACCTTTTTCAGCGAAGGCGTGTTTGGACGTCGGCCAAAAACTTGCCGACCACGCATCTATCCACTGACCAGCACCGGTGTGGGTGCTTCATTCAGCGTCGAAACGACGATCTTACGCGAGTTGTACTCGAAAACCGAAGCACATGGCGACAGCGGCATGAGCGATCAAGGTGACAGGACGTCGCGTCGCAGCGGCTTAAAGGGCGAAAAACACGGCATCACGCTGTCATCAGCTACCCCCCCCCCCCCGCCCTCTTGGTACCCTCCTACATCCCGCATCTACAGGAGCTTCGACATCCAACGCCCCGAAATTCGCAAACCAGCACAACCGAGATGTCCTCCAAGGGGGAAAAGGAAACGCGCTACAAATAAAGAAAAAAAAATCGTGACCCGCCCTCCCGTTCCGGACCGATATACTACAGACAGTCGGCTTTTCAAACTCGATAAAACGCTGGCTTGAAAGATGCGGAATTCCTAGCATGCCGCCCTAGGATGAAGCAATGTCTGTCGTGACGCGAACAGATTCTTTTATGGATGTCAACGATCTCGCATCGCTCTTGATCGGGAGGAGTGTCTTCAGACGTGGGTCGCTGCAGAATTAAAAAAAAAAAAAAAGGGCCCTGCCCTTGACAGAGGAGCGAAATGCGTTTTCATTCCTGCCCCGAGCTCCACAGTTAAATGGGCATGCTCCCTCCGTTGCCTTCGGCCAGGGCTACTCGGAGAGCACTTCACTATCATCCTCGAGTTGAGTGTCTTCATAAACAATCGAGGCAGGCCTTAGCAGACTGTAGGCTTAACTGGCGGCCGATGCGAGCGCGGAAATGCGGCGCGGGAAGCCCTGTCACGGGGATCGGTCGTGCGGTCATCGAGCCGCGGTTCGGCCGGACAAGCGAGGACGCAAAATTTGGCCGGGACAAATGAAATCTTCACGTACCTTTACGTAGAACGGCAGAAAATAGATATACAACAGGGCGATGCCTCTGTGCTTCCTGGCGCAATGACGTCAGACCCCTGGCGACACAAAAAAGGCGAAGCAAGTGTAGAAGATGAATAAAATAGTTTTTATGTTGTTTTAAAATGACAAATGTCCAAATTTAACGTGAAAAAAAGTTAAAGCAAAATTTATATTTCAATAAACAATGTTTAAGTTCATGTCTTACATAACTTGTTAACGATGCACATTCAGTTTCGCTATTTCGCCCACCCTTCATCCCACATTTCATTTCATTCTCGTCTTCGACGCTGTCGCTCTTCTTCGTCATCCCTGTTCTGTTTTTCTTTATTCCCCCCATCCTACGCCCATTCTGGTTTGTTTTCCTACTTATTTCATCTTTCATTCACTCATCTCCTTCATTTTAACTCAATTGAGATACTATTTTGATCTTATTTGATCGGGGAAGCGTTGAGTGCCCTTAGGCCTAGCGAACCCCCGAGATGATGACAAACGAGGAGATTTGAGCCTTTTGGCTGTGATGATCTCGGCCCGTACTCTATCGGAGATGATGACAGTGAACGGATATCTTAACAGCGCGAACGGCCGTTGCTTTGCTGGCTCGCTCTGTGTTTGAGCTAGCGAGCGCGGCTGCTTGTGCCGGTGGGGATAGCTGTCACGGACTGATCCGATGTCTTTTCCATTTAATTAACGGAGTGCGCATGGTTTTGCTCCCTGCAGAAGACCAATTCGCGACCCTTGTGACTCATGCATTAGCTGGACGCTGCGGCAGCTAATGCTGGAAACGGCAGGAAGCTTATTTGTTGCATTTGTCGTGGGTCAGGTTTTCATGGGTGGCCATAGTTCCAAGTATATATAGGTGTTCTGTGGTTCCACAGCATGACCCACCCACGACCTCCTCCCACTCACCAGCGTCACACCGTACTGAGAGGAATAAATGAGTCACGCAATGAAGATTGGAAAATGAATGGTGTGTGAGGCCGTTCTAATAGTACCGAAGGGCATGTGTGTTCTTTGGGCATGTCGTGCAAATTTTAAACTCCAACTATAAAGGCCAGATGGCGTCACAATACCACGCAGTTAGAGATGGGTTTCTATTTTTGAATAATAAATAGTTTGTTACTACTCCTTAGGTTGAGCCTGTCGGCAGGAGCCCTAAAACATATTTTGAGCATTGACATGCCAAAATATTGGGGATGTGTAGCGCAGCATTGGAGGATACGTCAGTTGTCCTCAATCAGGTGAATGTCAGATGAGAAAATTTGCATGCTTATATCTCGGAGGCCATGTTGTGTACGCTTTACAAGGCTAGATGTCACCGCTATGCTACGTGCTTTGAAGTCTCTAGATAAAGCGTGTTTCATATAGGGACCTTAAAGTGCTTAAGAATGTTATTCAATTATATTAGCCAAAGTGCGTTCCAAACGCCGGACTCGTATTTGCCCAGTTTTGTGGCAGTTAGCCGACTGTCGCGTCACCTGGAGACAGCAACGTCAAACAAAATAATGCGGTTAATAGTTGTCGTGCTGATCAAAAGGTAGCGCCATAAGTAGCATGACAATTTGTACACTCTTGACATCTGAGTGGAATGTCGTGTCCGGATTTTGATACATGGAAAGTTTCTGCGTACTTGGAGCACTTGGAGGTCGGTCTAATCTGACGGCGGGTGCCCTAAAACAGGCAAAGTTCCATTTGGCGTTGCATAAGTGGTTGCCAGACTGAACGGGTGGTTGTTGCCAGACTGCCGCTAAATTTGGCAGAAAAGTTTTTTTCTGTAGTTGTGGCTTTTCTGCAAGAGTTTGGTGCTATCCGCGGTGCACTTCTTGGCTGAAAATTTTTCTCCTGTAGTTGTGGCTTCTCCGTAAAAGTTTGGTGCTATCCGCGGTGAATTTCGCGAGTGCATGAGCGACGCTGGCCGTTTTAATTAACGGAATGGACCGAGCCTAGCAGAAGTCAAGCGCGGCGCTGCTGCGCAATTAAGAGGCCGTTTTAATTCCGTTTTAATTAACGGAATGAACCGCGCATTACAGAATTCGTTTTCTTTACGGAATGTACCGCGCCTAGCAGAAGTCGAGCGCGGCGCTGCCGTGCAATTAAGAGGCCGTTTCAATTCCGTTTTAATTAACGGAAGAAACCGCGTCTAGCAAAAGTCGAGCGCGGTGCTGCCGTGCAATTAAGAGGCCGTTTTAATTAACGGAATGAACCTCCCATTACAGAAGTCGAGGCGCGTTCTCTTGCTGTGTGCGCAGCTGTGCGATTAAGATATCGCATCTCAGTATTAGGGATTACGGGGAAAACTGAATAAGAGTCGCAGGAGGTGATGCGCTGCCCCCCTCCCCCCTTACTTTTCTTTTTTTTTTTCTCTCTCAGCTGATCGTGTCGCGTCGACCGCCACTACGACGGGGGACGCTACGCTTCCCCTAGCTGTGTCAGCACAAGACATATCGTTCGGACTCGTATATACATGTGATGAATAAGCGTTCCAAGGCTGGTTAATCGGGGTACGTCGGATATGCTACAGCTATGTACGCCTGGAAGGCTGCTTTATCGAAGCAGATGGAGCGAATTAAGCGCGACTTGCGCGTACCTGTAAATGGGACCCAGCCGACGAGCCGCCGTCGCTTACAGGGCCCCACCCACAATAAGCACAAATTGTTTCTGAGCTCAAGAGCGCAGTATAAAACAATAGGGTGGGTACATAAGAATAAAATGGCATAATATGTCTCACTACACGCTCATCACTCACGATATGGCCGGGATCCCTAAACAGGATATCGTCGGCGACCGATCACCTCCATTAATCGAAGGAAAAGGTCTTTCACGTTGAGACGTGCAACGACCAAGTACGTCTCGAGAAGCAAAAAAAAAAAAAAAAGGAGCCTTGCCCCTGTCTACCCAGCATTGTGAGTGTCCCGCGGAGCTGAGACAGCTAGCTGTTTCCTGCAACCATTGTACCTGAAGTGTGGGTCTGCTCGTTTTTTTTTTTTTTGCCGGGGCGATTGTACGTGACGACTTACTGCATCCTGGGTCACCATAATTAAGCCGAGGAGAAGCCACAACTACAGGAGAAACATTTTCAGCCAAGAAGTGCACCGCGGATAGCACCAAACTCTTACGGAGAAGCCACAACTACAGGAGAAACATTTTCTGCCAAATTTAGCGGCAATTTGGCAACAACCACCCCAAAGTCTGGCAACAGACTTATGCAACGCCAAATGGAACCTTGCCCTAAAACACTCTTAGAACATTAACGTACAAAAACGCCGCTGATATATTGCATGACCTCACACAACTTCTAATATCATGGCATTGGAGGAGATTTGAGCCTCTTGGCTGTGGAAATGGAAACCCCGGTGAACACAGAGAAATTATTTAGTGTTTCCCGCGGAAGCAAGTCTGGCTCTGTTATATTTAGTCTACTTCAGTGACCTAATATAATCATTTAATAATAGTAATAATGGGTTAACTCCCCTGAACCATTATCCTCAAGAATTTACGCCTTCACCGTGCATCAATGACCTATATATATATATACCTGCTCCAGTTGATTGTGGATGTAGGTATGTTAGAAAAGTAACGAATACAATTTCTATACGTTCTGGAAAGTGCAGTATGAAGTTCACCGTTACCAGATCAATTTAACGCTTTCCCGATATGTTTAAGTTGATTGATTGATTGATATGTGGGGTTTAACGTCCCAAAACCATCATATGATTATGAGAGACGCCGTAGTGTAGGGCTCCGGAAATTTCGACCACCTGGGGTTCTTTAACGTGCACCCAAATCTGAGCACACGGGCCTACAACATTTCCGCCTCCATATGTTTAAGTTGTAGATGCACATACATTAGTAACGTTTGCACATACAAACACGCATAAACAGCTAGGTGACAATCAACGCGGCAATTCAATGCTTTTGTATGTTTGAGCGTGCGTTTGTACGCGTGCTTGTATAAATTGAAAAGTTTGCTAAGGAAGGTGGGAGTGCAACCCCCTTCCCCTCAATTTTTTCCTCCTGCTGTCTCCACAATGACCATGTAGTGGGTAGGAGGCGGTATTAATTAAGGAGCAAGCGAGCCCGTGTTCCCTGCTTCGCTCTTACAAGACTGAGATTTGCTTTGAAATAATCGAGGCGGATCCAATTTGGAAGCGGCCATCGAATTCGCACTTGTCTCATCTCGTCAGGATGGCGCCAAAGGTAGGACTTGTCTGTCCGCTTCATGTATACAGACTGAACGAGGCTTTAAATTACCTGTCAAAGCTAGAGCTTGCGGCAACCAATAATCGGCGATGTTTACCAGGCTTTGGAGCGTGACTCATAATTCGAATGCAGTTTTGCCGCATTTGACAGGGCAAAGGAGGAGGAGAAAAACTTTATTCAACAGAGGAGTTTGGAGCACGCAGGCTCCCGGGCCCCCGCACGACCCCTTTGCGCTCAAGCGTTCATTTGGTGGTGGTCCATGACACTGGCAGCCCGGTCGGCCGCCATGGTCTGCTCAACCGGGTCCTCTGAGCGCAGTAGGGTCTCCCAATCCTCCCAAGTCTTTAGGTGCTCTAGGGCCCGCGGGGGAGGATCCGCCGGGCAGTGAGAAAGGATGTGTATAGCAGAAGCATGAGGTTCAGGGCAAAGGGTACAGGCTGAGGTGAGGAAAAGGGGGTGATAGTGCGATAGAATGAGAGGAGAGGGAAGAGTGTGAGTTTGTAGCTGGCGCCAGAGGATTGCCTGTCGGTTGCTCAGGGACTTGTGCGGTGGGGGATATAGCTGACGTGCTGCCCTATAGGCCTGAGTCAGCTCGTTGAAAGTGTGCGCGCGGTCCTTCGTGAATCCTAGATCGGAGGCCGCGGGAGCCCGGTTTAAAGAACCTCAGGCTAAGAGGTTGGCGGCCTCGTTTCCAGGATTCCCGCAGTGCGCGGGCACCCAAATCAACTCCACTTGACGGGGCGGGGTTGCAGCGGGCGAATCCAGTATGCAAAAAGCAGGGACGTGAACTCGGCCTCGTGCAAAATTTAAGATTGCGGTTTTGGAATCTGATAAGACGTACCGTGCTTCTGTGTTTACGATTGCTAAGGCAATGGCAGCTTCCTCTGCAGCTTCGGGGGACGTGTCTGGAGGGAGTGTGTGTGTACCTATGGGAGAGAGATTGTGATCCACCACGGCAGCGACCGCTTCATCACCCACGCAGGCTGCGTCTACCCATACGGCGTCTGGTTCGGCGCCGTAACATAGGTGTAGAGTTTTAGCGCGAGCTCTGCGACGTTTATCGTGGTGGTCGGGGTGCATGTTACGGGGAAGTGGTGTAATGAGGAGTTCGCGGTGCAGGGGTCTTGGTATGGGGAGTAATGTGGGATCATTGGCGGGTATCTGGATTCCAAGAGAATGTAGAATATGCCGACCAGTGTCGGTTTGTGTGAGACGAAGGTATTGTGCTTGGCGGTGCGCGTCTATAAGTTCCCCGATAGTGTTGTGAAGGCCTAACTTGAGAAGTCGATCGGTAGGTGTACTTATGGGAAGGTGGAGGGCTACTTTGTACGCCCGACGGATGAGGGCGTCCAATGTTTCAGTGTCGCGGCGAGAGAGTTGGAGGTAGGGGGTGCAGTAGAGCACACGGCTGAGTACAAAGGCATGAATAAGGCGACATAGGTCGCCCTCCTTCATGCCTCGGTAACGGCCTGACACCCGGCGGATGAGGTGCGAGATCGCCCCTGCAACCTGCTTGAGTCTCCGGATTGTGTTTGTGTTCTTCCCATCACTCTGGATATGCATGCCTAGTATCCGGAGGGTGTCGACCTCTGGTACCGATCTGCCATCCAGTTCGATGACGATGGGTGGGGAGGGGGAGTTGCGGCTTTTGGGGCGGATGAAGAGCAGTCCGGACTTCTCTGGAGAACAGGTTAGTCCTACGCTAACTGCATAATTTTGCGTTAGGTTGGCGGCTGTTTGGATGGTGTCCTGTATGTCACCGTCACTGCCATGGGTAGACCAGAGCGTGATGTCGTCTGCGTATAGGGTATGTTTCAGATGAGGAACAGTTGCCAATTGTCGAGCTAGGGGGATGGGGGTGATATTAAACAAGAAAGGTGAGAGGACGGACCCTTGAGGGGTGCCGACACTCTTTAGTGTGTATGTTGGGTGGGTGAGCGGGCCGAACTGAAGTTCGGCCGTGCGTGCTGTGAGAAAGGCCTGAATGTAAGTGTACGTACGTGTACCCACGTTCAGTGGAGAAAGTTCTGTCAGGATCGCATGATGCTCAACGCGATCAAAGGCTTTGTATAAGTCCAGAGCCAGCACTGCCTTTGTGTGGCCCGGAATGAGCGGGTCGAAGATGTCGTGAGTGATTTGTAGCATGGCATCTTGAGTGGACAAATGGGGGCGAAAGCCAACCATGCTGTGAGGGTATAAGTCACGGTCTGTCATATGCTGTGAAAGCCTCGCCAGTACAACATGTTCGAAAAGCTTGCCCAAACACGAAGTTAATGAGATTGGGCGAAGGTTTTGGAGTGTAAGTGGTTTGTTGGGCTTCGGTATGAACATTACTTTCGCGTGACGCCAGGACTGGGGAAGCGTTCCTTCCTTCCAACACTGGTTGAAGTACTCCGTGATGCGAGTGATCAATTTGTCATCCAGGTTGCGGAGTGTTGTGTTGGTAATCAAGTCGGCTCCGGGTGCGGATTTAGTGCGGAGAGTCAACAGCGCGGCTCTGACCTCCGCCTCGGTTATATCTGTGCCGAGTTCGGCATTCGGTTGTCCTGTGTATGAGGGAAGAGAAGTTGTTATGCCGGGCGATGTGTAGGTGTCGCGGAGTGTATCCAAAAGATCATTGGGGTTGTCCATGTGTGCGTGTATAAGCCGGGTGACGTGGTGCTGGGTAGTGGTTTTCGTGTGCGATGGGTCGAGGAGGTGTCGGAGGAGATGCCACGCCCTTTTGGTGGTCAGTCTGCCAGCAATGTCGTCGCATACCTGCCCCCAATTGGAGCGGCACAGCTCCTTCGAATGTATTTGGATTTGGGATTGTAGAGTGGCTAAGCGTTTCTTTAGCGTCCTGTTATGTTTACCCCGTTTCCACCGCTCTAGAAGGCTGTGGTAGGCATCCCATAGGTGAGCGAGTCGGTTGTCTAGTGTTGGAGTGTCTGTGGTGGTTTCAATTAGTTGCGTGTGATGTTGAATGTCAGTCTGAAGAGATTACACCCAGTCGTTGATGTCGGTTATGGGATTGTCTGCGCGGGTGGTACGCGCAGCACGAAGAGCGTCCCACTTAATGAGTTTGTGTGTCATGTATGTGTGCCGGGGTGGTTTGAACGGGACAGTGACTTGTATAATGTAGTGATCACTGCCCAGTGTGTGCTGTGTTCTCGTCCATGTGACAGTACGGAGGGAGCGACTAAGCACCAGATCCGGACTAGTGTCCATACTGACACTGTTGCCTATGCGTGTAGGTGTCTGAAAGTTGTTGTGGACGGAGAGTTGGAGGTTCTGCATGAGCAGCCAAAGCCTGCGACCTCTATGTGTAGTTGTTTTGTATCCCCAGTCAGTATGTTGACTGTTGAGATCGCCGCCGATTAGCAAGGGATGTTTCCCCGCCAGTCGATGCAGCTCCCGGAAGAGGGAATCCAGCGAGGCCATCGGTTGGGATGGGGGGTGGTAAATCTTGGCAATAAATATGGAGGGGATGGTATGTGTGTGGTGGATAATTTCTGTTATTACACAGGGTGTGTCTGATGTGATGTAATGTGTCTTGTATGTGAGAGCGCGGTGCACAAGGGTAGACGCTCTGGGTGCGTTTGTGGTAAACGAAATACGTTAAACGAAAGAGAGATGCTGTGATTTCGGACCTGAAATTTTGTCTGAAAGAAATTTGCCGATAACTGGGAAATTCAGAAAAAAATCGCACCAATTAAGGCTCGGGAGTGTGTTACTCTAAATAATAATAATAAATGTCGCGTCAGATTTCCAGCTAACACGAAAATGTTACGATGTGTTTAGCACGACGCGTTACACCCATGCGATTTTAGCGATATCCCGCTATAGCGTTGCCTGCTGGATATGGTAGCGCCTGATATAAACCATAGAGTAGCAAGACTACGTGATGTTCAAGCGTATAGCGCATTGCTGTCTGCTACGCTGTTAATTAAATTTGTACGTGCTATTAACCTTATTTGTGCGGTCCTAGCTGCGTTCAGAAAGCCGTAGTGGTGTAACACTGATATCAGAAACTACCTTATCACGCGGCCAAAGCGCGTGCAATTTTGCTGGTGTATTTCATACTGGCGTATGCATACACCAGATTACCTAACTCGCTAAAACAGTGTCGTATCGCGACACCGCTTGTCATACCGGAATGTCAGGATAGGGCAGTGCACGTTTGATTGATTTATATGTGGGCTTTAACGCCCCAAACCCACCATATGATTATGAGAGACACCGTAGTAAAGGGCTCCGGAAATTTTGACCAACTAGGGTTTTTTAACGTGCGCCCAAATCGGAGCACATGGACCTACAACATTTCCGCCTCCATCGGAAATGCAGCCGGGATTCGATCCCGCGACCTGCGGGTCAGCAGCCGAGTGCCCTATAGCCACTAGACCACCACGGCGGGGTGACGCGTTTGGTTACAACTATGGGCCACGGCCTAGCGAGTGAAAACTGGCCACAGACGCACCATAAAGCACAGAGGAAGGAAACCTTTCCTTCCACCGTGCCATAAAGCTTGGTCTGATGCCAGGGGCCCCGTTGTGGTGGTCTAGTGGATAAGGCATTCGGCTGCTGACCCGCAGGTCGCGGGATCGAATCGCGGCTGCATTTCCCATGGAGGCGGGAAAGTTGTAGGCCCGTGTGCTCAGATTTGGGTGCACGTTAAAGAACCCCAGGTGGTCGAAATTTCCGGAGCCCTTCACTACGGCGTGTCTCATAATCATACGGTGGTTTTGTGGCTTAAACCCCACATATCAATCAATCAATCTGACGCCATGGTGATCGTTTTACATATCGCCTTGTCTGCAATTCTTTATTACTAAGTGTGCTGGCCGAAAAGAACATTATCAGGAAATCACGAAACACATGTTGCCACGAAGTCGTAAGAGCCATATTACGCTGCAATACCCGCGGCGCGACATTTTCTTGTCTTCGTGTGCTACTGACGTCACTGATTATAAATTAAAGAGGCTGGCCGGAGCGGTTGGAATACGGGTGAGAGAGAATGAAACTTTATTGTACGACTACACTCGCATTCTCTTCGTCCAGATTCGTGCATGGGTGGTGACAACAATAGCGTAGCCAGTGGATGGCACACTCCCCCCCCCCTCCTTATTTGTTTTTCGCCATGGCATGCCGAGCGAGAAATGACCATTTTAATTAGGCTGCCCCTCTATAAAAAATTTTCTGCCTACGAACCTGATTCCAGACAACTGTCATGGCTTGCAGCAGACGCCCAAGCCCTGACCGCCAGCCTGAACTGGTTCTCATTGTGTAGGGTGTTATGAATTTTGCTCTGTCGCGATGGTAGCGGTGGCGAAGAGCGGCGAGCCGTCGAGCGGACTTCGTTGAAGCCTTAGCCCGCAGGCGAAACAGGGAGGCAATTCGTTTGGAAAACAGCAACAAAAGTAGCGTTTACTGTAGCAGGTTCTCGTTTGTACAGAGCCGGCCAGCACGACAACGTCGGCTGGGGCAAAATCCCTCTAACATGGGGCCGGCACGGCCTTAAATAGCGTTTTGGGACTCTTCTGCGAGACCAGTTCCCCGGAACGGCACAGTGGCTCGGCTGAGGAGACGCAGCCATACCCGGAATTACAAAGTGGTTCGGCGGAGGAAGCGACGTTATCCCCGGAACTGCACGGAAGGCGGTGCTGGGAGCGGGGGGAGACAGTTCGTCGGAACAGGGCTCGATCTCGTGAGACGTGCTCCCGAACGAGGAACATGTCTGTGGCACAACAAGGGACACACCGGGCCTCACCATGACTCGTGAATGCTCGTGCACTACAGGAAGCAACAACGCCTCTATCCACCTGCTCGCAAAAGGCTGACTCTAAAGAGTCCAAGCAGTGGTTTGGAGAAAGCTCCAGGCAGGCAGCTGTCCGCACAGGCGTGTGCAGAGCTCTTTGCTGAGGAGGTGGGGGTCAAATTTTACTTTCCCCCTCAGCCAGTCGAGTGCGAAATAAGAGCTCCGAAATGGATGCAAGATTTGAAGTGAAAAGAACGCTTGCTATTCGCAACGACCCACCACCACCTGTCTCCGGCTTTTTAGAGGTAAATGTTGCCAGTAAACAATCCTTCGAATGCATGCTGCATCGATTGTCCTGAGTCACCATTTTCGTCAAAAAAAATTCGCAGCATATCCACGGATTGAATGATGATGAGTGGGGCGAAGCGTCCGTTCGTGCATCCGTCCGTCTAACCGCGGGTCGATCTGTCTGTATGTCCGTCCGTTTAATGAACAATCCAAGTATCACCATCTCGCATCTTTTCATCATACTTTGGATGGATAGATGTGGCTGTACCCTTTAGATCGGGCGGCGGCTAACGCCACCTAGCCGTAATACTTAGTGAACTAACCATTAGATTTATCTTTTTTTTTCTCTTTAAATAGTGAGGTTCAGGATTCGTACTTTGCAGTGAAGGGTTTAATCTTCACCCGTGTACGCACCACCTTGATTATATACAAGCACCGCCATCTAGCGGACACTCCAAGAAATAAACGAGAGGTAGTTACCTATACATACATCGAGGACGCACGACCCACGGCTTACGGAGCTTCGCCCCTAAATGTCTATCCCCTGTGGCACATACCCGCTCTCATGTGCCACCGGTGGTTACAAACGATAACGGGAGAGAACGTGTCACGCCATAAAAAATTTCGCTCCTAAAAAAAAAAAAAAACGTGTGTGGCCATATCCTTAC